TTTTTTATCAAACTAAGCTTGAGAAACATGTTTATCATTATTAATAACATGAGGTAATTTCTTTTAGTAATTAAAATGAAAATACTTTTTTTAGACATTCAGCTGTTTGTAAGATATTAATGATTTTTCTTAATAAAACAGAATAATTTGATTAGTATTACTAACGCTTAGGGAATTGGGATCATATGGAATTTTTTTTTTTTCAAAAAAATGAAGATGGACCACAAGGAATGTTTTAGTCCTACTGACTATTGTATATACCTGCATTAAGTATTGGGTTAATCAAAATCAAAATTGAAATTATTTAAATTAACATAAATAATAACAGAAAATATTAATGGTAGAGTATATACCACCAGATTATTAATTCAATTTTGAAGACATAATGCAAATGAAGATTTAAACTTGATTAACATCAAGCATCGAGGTTGCTAAGTTGCTGAATTAAAGGCTTTCACAATTCAGGTTTTGATCTTATTTTAATTGCACATAACTTGTTCTTCATTCCTTACAAACTAGATGATGAAATTAATTATACATACATAAAACCATAAAACATACAAACAAACCATAATTTATTACACACATAGGAAATAAAAAAAGGTTGTTCCAAAGACCGTGGTAGCCTAAAAAGGAAGCCCTGGAATTTCACTTCTCAAGAGCAGTCCTTGAAGTCCCTGAACAATCATCTTGAACCTGAAAAACAACAATTAAAGGTGATCTCCTGAGTTATTTCCAATTAAGTAATGCAATTGAAAAAGATGACATGAAGTCCTAAACAAACCCAAAACATACCTACCTACGGATGGCTCCTAAAACTTCGACTTTCTTCGCAATCTAGCAACTTTCACAGCTATCACCAAACAAAGTGCTGCCACAATCGAAAGGAGGTAGTCCTTCAAGTTGCTGAGGTGAACCTTCATGTAGTTGAACAACAGGAAACAAATATGTTTCCAGGGATCATCTAATTTGAGAGCCAAAACTCCTAGAAAGCCAAAAGCCATTCCAACTTCCATACTGGGTTTGAACCCTTTCCAGAATTCATCTTCGTCTCGTTGATTGTATTTGACACCACCATCCATAGGCTTTTCATCACTGGGGCATTTTTGCGGTAGAGGAGGTCCACAGAGTGCAGGATTCTCAATAAATGCAGAAGCAGGAAGGCTCTGCAATTGAGTGCTAGATGGAATTCTCCCAGAAAAGTTGTTATATGACAGGTCCAATGTGCTAAGGGAATATAATTGGGACATGCTTGGAGGAAGCCAGCTTGAAAGCCTGTTGTGTGAGAGATCAAGTGATTCCAATTGTCTCATCTGCCCAATATCTGGTGGTATCCTTCCAATCAAATGGTTTCTTGATAAGTTCAATTGATGCAGTTCAGAAAAGCTAGCAATTTGCATAGGAATTTCTCCAGTTAGTTTGTTGCTTGAGAGATCAATGGTCCTCTGAAGTGTGAGATTTTCATAAGGATATTCTATTCCTTTCCATATAACAGATGCTTTGTCAGCATAGCTTCCTTCACTATCATAATAACTATGAACAAGTGAAGAATTGCAGAAATGATGTTTGGCTGAAATGTCTTTTTTGGCCAAAGCAGTCAGATTACCAATGCACCATGGTATGGGTCCGGAGAGGTTGTTATAAGAAAGGTCCAGCAGCAGAATATTTGTCAACTGGCATATCTCCAGTGGGATTTCTCCAACAAAATGATTAGATTTTAGGAGGAGGAAATTTAGTGAATTTGACCTTTCTCCAATCCAACTTGGTATTATTCCAGACAGTCTATTATTACTCAAACCCAGAAATTGCAATTTACTGCAGTTCCTTAAAGAGCAAGGAATTTTCCCAGAGAGGTTGTTGTTTTGCAAATCAAACGTTTCAATCAAAGAGAGAGATCCCACAAAGCTCGGAAATTTTCCAAAGAAGTGATTGTTAGCCAAATTCAAAATTTGCAAACTTGACCAATGCATCATACAATCGGGAAGCTCTCCAGATAGTTGATTGCTTGAAAGATCGAGGAACTCAAGAGACATACCAGTCATAGCACAGAGAGAAGAAATTGACCCATTAAACCTATTTTTTGAGAGGTTTAAGTGGGTGGTATTAGCAGGAAATGACGGTAATGGACCCTCCAAACGATTTCCACTTAAATCTATCCCAAGGGCATAATAATTAGATGAAAAATTCCTTGACAAATTTGGAAGAACTCCACTGATCTGGTTGGAAGAAAGATCTATAACTTCTGCCGTAGAAGGCAGCTTACCGAACCAGATGGGGATGCTATTTGAAATTCTAGTTGCAGAAATATTAAGAAACTCATACTTCCTTTGGGTCTGTAACCAACTTGGAAAATCGGATCCCAACTTGCAAGACCCAAGATGAATATATTTCAACTGGAATGGAGGAATCCAGTCACGGCTGAAGTTGATGCTCAGATGATTTGAAGACAAGCTCAAGTATTGTAAATTAGATAGTGTTGAGAAGTGTTCCTCAGTGATCACCCCATTAAAAGAATTGAAAGAAAGAAATAAGTCCTCAAGATTTGATAGCAATCCGATGCTTTTGGGTATATTACCACTCAGTTTATTTTTTGAAAGAGCCAAGGATCGCAATGATGACAAGTTACGACTCCAAAAGGATTTTGGAATCTCCCCCTCAAACTGATTATCATAGAGAGATAACTCTTCCAGAAGAGTCATCTGAGTAAAAGTTTCTGGAATTGGACCTCGAAATTGATTAGAACCCAAGTCGAGACTAACAAGGCTGTTGCTAAAGTTGAACAACCATTGGAATGTAGAAGCAGTCAAATTGTTACCGCTTAGACCAAGGTGAACGAGAGAAGTCCTAGAAGAATTAATTATGGGGAAATACTGGGGAATGACATCTCGAAGATTACATATATGTAGAGACAGGTTAGTTAGATGAGGGAGCTTATTAATTACTTGCAGCCAGTCATTGTTGACCTTACTAAGGTCGGTTTGACTCAGATCAAGGTATTGCAAGTAAGAAAGACGAGAGAGCCACTCAAGATTTTTGACACTGTTGAAGTTATTAGAGCTAAGATCAAGATATTGCAGACTTGTGAGGTTTGCAAGCTGACTAGGAAGAGATCCACTTAGATTACAATAAGAAAGATCAAGATGTTGTATTTTGTTGAGTAAACCAATAGACTCTGGAATGTGGTTTAAGTTGAAATTATTCCCACTGAGGCCTAAAAAAATCAAATGCTGCAACTTAAAGAGAGAAGGACTAAGGTTACCTCTTAAGATAAAATGATCGTCATACAAATATGTGGTTAGATTAAGCATAGTGATGTGCCCAGTTGTGTTGCTACATTGAACTCCTTCCCATTCACAGCAATTCTTTTTCTCTTCTTCACTGCCCCATGAGGAAAGCCATCCATGTTCATCAACCAGACCTTGCTTAAATGCGAGAAGAGCTTGTCTTTCGCTATTTATGCACTTAACTCCATCATCAGTCGTTGTTGAATTGGATCCAATTGAAGTTTGCATGTGTAGTAAAACCAGGAGTGCATAGATAAGATGAAGGGACCCTGCACCCAGAATCTTCATTTTGAAAGTGATGAAAAATAAAATCAAAGATGAAGGTGAACCAAAATGAAAGAGTGTATCAGGGAAATATCGTAGACATGTAACTACGGTTTTTTTGGTAATGTTTGATGGGTTCTCAAAAGCATTCTAGCTACTTATATAGAACTTCAGCAAAACATATTAAAGGTTGTAGAAGGTCAAATCAAAGAATATTAATTTACCGTAGGTGGAAGGAGAAGATTCAAGGAAGATACCAGTATAGGTAATATGATTTGTGTGAAATGATTATGTTGCACTCTTGGGCGAATTATTTGGACTATGATTTAATGCACCCTACAATCTAGGTTTAATTATTTTAATTATGATTAAACGCACCATACAATTTTAAGTTTTTCTTTTTCTTTCTTTTTTTAATGTTTAGCATAAACAAAAATTTAAAGCTAAGATAGTCCTTTTTTTTATTATTTATTTAATTTCTCATCTTTTCCACTTGCTAAAATCACTCTCATGTCATTTTTTTGTAGTGAATGGTGCGCAAATATTGTAAGGAACGCCGATGGAAGGAAAGAAATAATGTGAAAGAATTCATGTAAGTTGGTGGGTTCATTTCACTAAACTTAATCTAATATTAGTTTTTCTTCAAAGTATCCTTATTAGTAAACGAGAAGTAAGGATAACATAGTTTAAATTTAAAGGGTATTTTGGTAAATTTAAATATTTGATTCATTTGAAAATGTGAAGTTCATTTTCTAATTCCATCAAAGATAAGGTTGAGACTAAACATGTGATGCAATTGGTACAGATGAAAATATCATCAAGACGAAGGCTAACTATTCGGGGTTCTTTCAAAGAAAATAAAACTATAGAGACTAAACGTTGCCCAAATAATGTCGTAAAGAATAATTTATGTGATCTTTTACTTGACATCTTGTGATAATTAATTAGAAGGACCCTATGCCCAAAACCATGATTTTTGAAAGTGAAAAGAACAGAATGAAGATGAAGCTCAACCAAACTGAAGACTGTGTCAAGGAAATTTAATCTTTGGTGTTGGTGTTTGCTCAGTTCTCAAAACCGTTCTGCTTTACTTAAATATAACTGTAGGGAACATCAAAGAAATAAAAGGAGAAAGCATTAATTTGGAGTTGGGTGGGGTGAAGATTAAAGGAAGATACCAGTTTGACGGATTTTAATAAAAGGGTAAGGTGGATCTTCGAAATTCAACAATACATGCAAAAAAATGAGTTTGTGGAAGTTGGAACACGCTCAAGTGAAAGAAGTGGAACACCATTGACTTGTTAACTTAATTAATTACCTACTCTTGTCCCTCGTGGAAACACAAGTCAATTAACCAACTTTGGAAATCTTGTTTGTTTCCTGGAAGCATCCTATTATTGAGAATGCAACTGAGAAAAGAAGACTGACCTTTGATTTTACTTATAAGCAGGAGCCCCTTAAATCCAAAACCTGAAAAAGAAAAAAAATTACTAGCATGATTTCTATTTTATTTATTTCATTTTTATAATTTGATTAAGGAATAACTATTCTATCAACTAAACAAGTCGATAAGAATAAGAGCATTAAACTCGCAGAATTCAGGTTTCAGTCTTATTTCTGTTGCAGCTAGCTTGTTCTTCATTTCTTACAAACTAAATGCTGGAATCAAACAGGCAAAACACCAAAATGGTATTATAAAACACACATAAATTATAATTTAGCACACATAAATCAGAATACAGATTGTAGTCCTATCCAGTTTTATTGTTTTGAGTTTTAATATTGTAAAAGATCAGGAATAGCGGAACTGCTCTTAGTCAAATAATTTTTCCATGAAAGCATTATATGAAAAGATATAAAGCTTAAGGCCACTTAAAAGTATATTCCTTCCACATCACTCTCTTATTGTGACTCACATACCATGTAACCAAAAAAGAAAGTAGGGTCAAAGTTCCATTAAGTTTCTGAATCTAACACTATCTCAGAAGCATAAAACCTAACCCACCATTCAACAAAAGCAGAATAGTTCAAATCTTCTTGTTTCTCAGAATCTGATTTTAAATTATGAAAGTTTTGAAAACTAAGACTCAACTAAATACAAATAAATCATTTGATATAAGAGTGATGGGGTTTTAGCAACTTGGTATGGTTACAGCCAACAACTCTGTAGAGCAAAAGATACAACCACCAGAAAACAGGCCATAACTCAATAATATCAATATCAAATATATATAGGGGAAGATGATACTAAGGACAAACCAAGTTTATTGTTTTGACAATGTATAGTTGTTAAAAGATCCTGTAGCATATGGTGCAGTGCAAGCATTGGAAGGAACGCTGATGACAATAGAGAAATAAAGTGAATGCATCAGCTAAGTGAGAGAATTCATGTAAGTTGGTGCATTTCGCTATACTTAATATAAACTTTTCCCTAAAACATCCTTATTATTATTTAGGAAGGATAGTTTGTCTAATTTCTACCAAGGATAAAGATAGGAGCGCACTAATTGCGCTCGATCTTTTACATTTAATTTTTATTAAAAATCATAAAAATTCACTTTACTTTTATCACTAATGCTTCATAATGTTTTTAATTAGGTTTAATAAAATTAAAGTTAATTTTTAATTTTTTAATAAAAATTAATTACAAAAAAATAATTAATTTACTCTTAAGTTTTGCCTTGGTCAAGACGAACTCAAAAGATTGGGTGGACCTACAGAATTCAACAATACAATCACTGAGTGTGTAGAACACGCTCAAGTTCAAGAAGTGGAAGACCATTGACTTGTTGACTAATTACCTGCTCTGGCCTCTCATGAAAACACAAGTGATCAAATACCAACTTTGAAAATCTAGTTTCCTGGAAGCATGCTATTAAAGTTATTGAACATGCAACAGAGAAAAGAAGACTTACCTTTGATCATAGTTATAAGCAGAAGCTCTTTGAACCCAAAAACTTAAAGAAAAAAAAAAAACGTTAGCATGATTTCTATCTAATTTATCTCATTAATTTTTATAATTTGATTAAAGAATAACTATTCTGTCAACTAAACAAGTGGATAAGAATAAGAGCATCAAAGTTGCAGAATTCAGATTTTAGTCTTATTTTTGTTGCTGCTAGCTTGTTCTCCTGGATGGAGCCAAAAATTTAAGTTTGGAGGCAAATTTTTAAAATTTTTTTGTGAGTCATTTAAATTTTATTTGATCATATTTTGTGTAAACTATTTTCACAACAACTTTTGTAAAA